CCCACACCTAATAGCTTATGAAGGGAAGACATTGAAGGCAGATAGGTCAATGTGTTGGGGCAGAGCCCTGATGGAATCCAAACCACCATCATCCCTCCACCTTCAATTAATCAAACTCCTTCTAATCTAAGACCACACTAATGAAAAATTAAAGGAGTGGACTGGAATCAGATAGGTTTTTGGTGGAGAGACACAAACTTGTGGCCTCCATTAATGATTCCACTTGTCTCTTTCTTTTGGAGTCTCAATTTGGACCTACCTAGCAGAAGTTATATACTACTATTACCATAAGCTTTTAATGACCCAAACTCCCCTTTTGCTAATAAATATGACTGCTCAACTAATCAAACAACTGGAGTGGCTTGAAGTAGTTGTTTAAACAAAAAAATGGGTAGAGTGATATTGAATACTGTGGTGTGGTGAAGATAGCATGTCTTGGTTTTTTTATGAAAATGGTAACAAGTTATGTGACAGTTTCTTTCCTGTCAAGAACATGTTTAAGTCATATATACTTCAGATATCCTCACGCGTGCGGCCATGTACCATGTATTAATGTTTTTGTGTCAACTGCTTCTATTTCCCTTACAAGCTACCAAGGACTACAAAGGTCAGAATGGAAACTTTTGTATTTTGAGTATTTGATTGTTTTCTGGATTGTCTCCGGCCCCCATCTTGACCCTATTATTCCTTATGCGTTTGTCTCTAATACATTTCATCAGATTTTAAAAGCCAAGAAGAATGGCCAGGATTCCCAAGTTTAATACTGTAAAGTGGGAAAATCTTAGATTGAACAAATAATAAACAAACATATGAATTAGATATAAAGAGAATTATACCACTTATTACTAATTAATTTTATGTTGAATATAACCCTTGTGTTTAAATCCCCAAACCCAATTTTCACAAGTGCTTCTACCCAGTATTCTCTTTCAATCCAGAGGTGGGCATGTGATGGTCCCGAAAGATCATTTGACGACAGGATCACTGGAAAGCTGTTATTTTTCCCAACATATATGTTCTTTTTACAGGCAAATTACCCACTATTTAATGTGGAGAAGTAGTAAAAATTAACGTTTAACTTGTTGTAGACAAGATACATTTTAATTAGTATTTTGAGATTGACATTTCATCAGCCAGAGAAAAGGGTGAGGTTGCTGACCCAGTAGCTTTGGGCGAAAACTACAAGCAATTTTGTCTCTGTCCCTCATGTTTCCAACAATTTTCTTTTCTTATACTTTCATTTTTGGTTTCTTCCAATCTTTGTTGTTGATAGTCCGACTCAATTGTATACAATTAACAAAGATAATGTGGATGTACTTATAATTAAGAATTTAAATTTTTATATTAAAATTTTTAAATTTAAATG